TTTGTGGTTTAATTCTGTAAAGATCTCCCTTCTTACAGCTTATTTGTGTACTTTCTTGAAAAGCACTGTAGTGCACTGCAGAGCATGTTTCCCAGGCAGCTTCAGGACAATTAAACACACCATTTAGTTACTGTGGGTAACACCTCACCATCATATGTCAGGCCCTTTCTATTCAAAGTACTTTTCAATTTGACATAGCCTTCCGTTTCTTTCACTTCACAAATGTCATTTTTTTCACACAGTGCATATTACAATTCGTGTTTATTTTCATTTGCTGATCTTATTTACTGCAAAAATCTAAAGGTTATCTTTTTACTGGTTTTGCTCTGAAACAAATAGAGTAAATTTTTACATGTCATTAATTATTTTGTGTAAATTTGGATTTTGCTTTTTATTGCAAATCAAATATCACAAGTCTTCTAGTGATCCGAACACAATGTATGGTTGACAAAGCAACCGGTAATTTCCTGATAATGAGCTATTAAGTTTTGTGTTAGCTTGGATGAATTGCAAACATCACACCAGATAAAACAAAGCATATTAGGGTTTCGGAAGAATTAATTTACATACTTTAGCAACTCTCAGAATTAACCATTACTAGGGCCATGGCACTCTTATGAAAAGAGACTGCATTATCCCCAGTGAGAGGGTCTTATATTTGTGAAACCGCTAACAATTAACTTCTCTTATTTCCTCTATTTTGGTCTGTTAAATATACGCTTGAAAGTGTTTTGTTATATCTGATTGATAAATGCAAAACATGTATATATATTATGAAGCGAAGGAGAGGAGGATCTTTTTTTTCAGTATCCTATTGTGACAACATTGCTCCTCCATAGATGCAGTACAGTGTGTCACCTAGGGCAGGAACCATTACTGGCAGGATCATCAGGGAAAAATAAAGGAAAAAGACTGAAAAATAAAAAACAAATGCAGCCACCACTAAAACTGATAAGCTGCAATATATTAAATTGTTGGTCTTCAGATACACTTTACGACTAGAGCTGTAATCTCAAGTTTTCTTGAGACTCTGCTACTACGTTTTGCAGGACAAAAATATAAAAAAAAAGTTTGTGTGAGTTTTGTTAACTTCTTGAGTCTAAGTCACCAGCTGTTTGTCCCCAACTTCATTTAAAAATGTTGGTGGGTCTCAGCAACTTCTGGGGCCCCTGCCAGCACTGGCTGTGACAGGCAGGATACAGCAGTAAGCCCAGGATCTCCCACAATCAGCTCCTGGGATTCTGATCGTTCTGCAAATTGCTTCATAGGAGCACTCTGTAGAAATAAATGTAAACACAACACTTCCATCAGGAGTGTAGTGAAATCATGAGTGGCATGTTGTCAGTATGGAGGTCAGTACAGAACTTTTACAACTGTTATAATGATCAGTTGCTGGCAGATCCCAGCCAGCAATAGATAACCAATAGAAGCAACTTGCTTCTGCATGAGAATATGGATCTGGTCTCTACATCGGGAAAAGTGAAAAAAAAATGTGTATATACAGGTGAAACTCGAAAAATTAGAATATCGTGCAAAAGTTCATTTGTTTCAGTAATGCAACTTAAAAGGGTAAACTAATATATGAGATAGACTCATTACATGCAAAGCAAGATAGTTCAAGCTGTGATTTGTCATAATTGTGATGATTATGGCTTACAGCTCATGAAAACCCCAAATCCACAATCTCTGAAAATTAGAATATTGTGAAAAGTGCAATATTCTCAGCTCAAAGTGTCCCACTCTAATCAGCTAATTAAGCCATAACACCTGCAAAGGGTTCCTGAGCCTTTAAATGGTCTCTCAGTCTGGTTCAGTAGAAATCACAATCATGGGAAAAACTGCTGACCTGACAGTTGTGCAGAAAACCATCATTGACACCCTCCATAAGGAGGGAAAGCCTCAAAAGGTAATTGCAAAAGAAGTTGGATGTTCCCAAAGTGCTGTATCAAAGCACATTAATAGAAAGTTTTGTGGAAGGGAAAAGTGTGAAAGAAAAAGGTGCACAAGCAGCAGGGATGACCGCAGCATGGAGAGGATTGTCAGGAAAAGGCCATTCAAAAGTGTTGGGGACTTTCACAAGGAGTGGACTGAGGTTGGAGTCAGTGCATCAAGAGCCACCACACACACAGACGGATTCTGCACATGGGCTTCAAATGTCGTAATCCTCTTGTCAAGCCGCTCCTGAACAACAAACAACGTCAGAAGCGTCTTACCTGGGCTAAAGAAAAACAGACCTGGTCTGTTGCTCAGTGGTCCAAACTCCTCTTTTCTGATGAGAGCAACTTTTGCATCTCATTTGGAAACCAAGGACCCAGAGTATGGAGGAAGAATGGAGAGGCACACACTGCAAGATGATTGAAGTCCAGTGTGAAGTTTCCACAGTCTGTGTTGATTTGGGGAGCCATGTCATCTGCTGGTGTTGGTCCACTGTGCTTCATTAAGTCCAGGGTCAACGCAGCCATCTACCAGATTTTGGAGCACTTCATGCTTCCTTCCGCAGACGAGCTTTATGGGGATACTGACTTCATTTTCCAGCAGGACTTGACACCTGCCCACATTGCCAAAAGCACCAAAACCTGGTTCAATGACCGTGTGGGATTACTGTGCTTGATTGGCCTGCAAACTCGCCTGACCTGAACCCCATAGAGAATCTATGGGGCATTGCCAAGAGAAAGATGAGAGACATGAGACCGAACAATGCAGAAGAGCTGAAGGCTGCTATTGAAGCATCCTGGTCTTCCATAACACCTCAGCAGTGCCACAGGCTGATAGCTTCCATGCCACGCCGCATTGAGGCAGTAATTGCTGCAAAAGAGGCCCAAACCAAGTACTGAGTACATATGCATGCTGATACTTTTCAGAGGTCCGATATTGTTCTGTGTACAATCCTTGTTTTATTGATTGCATGTAATATTCTAATTTTCTGAGATTGTGGATTGGGGGTTTTCATGAGCTGTAAGCCATAATCATCACAATTATGACAAATCACGGCTTGAACGGCTTGCTTTACATGTAATGTGTCTATCTCATATATTAGTGTCACCTTTTAAGTTGCATTACTGAAATAAATGAACTTTTGCACGATATTCTAATTTTTCGAGTTTCACCTGTTTGTATATATATATATATATATAGTTTTAGACAGGTGTGAAATAATTCTGGAATGTAAGAATGCTTTAAGATATAAAAGTGTTAATAGTTTATATTTATCAATTTACAAAATAGAAAGTAAATGAGGAGAGAAATCCAAATCAAATCAATATTTGGTGTGATTACCCTTTGGTGTCTACATTGCTGAGAAATACAGGCAAATATTTCTCCATCATGCCAGACCATCAGGGAGATTTCTTTTGCAGCGGGACAACAACACCAAACATGTTGCCAATGTTATTAAGAACTATCTTCAGTGCAAAGAACAACAATGAGTCCTGGAAGTGATGGTTTGGCCCCCTCAGAGCCCTGATCTCAACATCATGGAGTCTGTCTGGGATTGATTTGAGGCAGCCTACTTCCACAGATCTGTGGTGAGTTCTCCAAGATAAACTAAAAATTCTTTCCTGCGCCTAGTGAAACACTCTACTACAGGTTCTATCCTGCTGCTGTGCACTGTGATCAACACAAATAATGAAAAAATAGAGAAAAACAGCGCAAACATAGACCTCTAAATAAAATCAATATACAAAGTGCAAACATAAATGAAAAATTGATCAATAGTGAAGTCCATCAAGATAAACCAAAGTTCAAAAAATATCAAAAAAATATATTTGTGCAAAGAGAAATATTTTTCAAATTCTTCTTCTATTATAAAGGAACTTCCACCTTCCACCCATGAAAACCAATATCAAATGCACTCACCAGATATAGGTGAATAAAACACCTCTTAGGAATTTATGGGATCCTGAACCCTCTTTCGTATCCACTCCATAGGAATCCTCCTCTCCAGCATAGGCTCCACCATCCGACCAGGGAGAAAAAAGTCTCAGATAGTGTAATATTGTGTAAGACACCATTCATAAGTGAAATCAAGGATTAAGGCCACTCACATTAAATTCACTTTAAAAAGGCATATTATTAGGACCAGCTTCTTTCAGATGAACAGTAGATGCAAGGCAACCTCCCACGGAATCTCACATCACAGCTCCAGGTTACAGCAGAAGCTCTACAGAGACACCGCATATACAGATCCCAAAAGATGGCCGCTGGAACGCACCGCTCAGCGTGCGCTCCACTCACCGGAAGTGACGTCAGACGTACGGAATAGAAACCGGAAATGCGTCAACACGTTTCGCCCCTCCCATCGGGCGTTCTCAAGACGTTCATTTCCTGTCTGAAAGCTCCCTTATATACCCAGCAGGGACCTACCCCTCCGTTCCAATTAGTCAAAAAACCCTCCCCGGGATTATCAAAAAAACCACTCCTCCTGTAATGTGACGTGAGAGTCCTTTACAGATGAGGTATATGCCTACACAATTAGAAATCCTTTTTCAAGTTATTCCCGACACTGTTAAATTATCTCCCAGAAGCGACATGTATATTACCACATGTCCCTAGTGGGAAAAACACGAACAAAGTATTAAACAATGCCTCACTATTACAAAAACTTTCTTTAATATATGAGCAATGAATAACATCACTACTAAATAGCAATAAAATGTAAAATTTTTTAATGAAAAAAAATAAAAAAATAAAAATAAAAATGAAAAATAAAAATAAAAATGAAAATAAAAATAAAAAAAAAAATGAAAATAATGTGTGAAATAAAAATAAAAATAAATATAAAAATAAAAATAAAAATATGAATAAAAATAATGAAAATAAAATAAAAATAAATATAATTATAAAAATAAAAAAATATTAATAAAAATAATAATAATAAAAAAATAAAATTAAAATAAAAATAAAAATAAAATATATATAATGCAAAATAAAATTGCATTAAAATATATAAAAAACTTTTAATAAGACACCTGAGGAATTTTTAATAGAAATTGTCTGTGCTCTTACCAATTAGACAAAAAACAATTAATGTCTATGTCCGAATTCAACCCTTTAGGGTACAAAGATCCCAATTGAAAGATCCATTTTGTTTCATTCTGCGAGATACTCTTAACCATATCTCCTCCCCTCCAATGGGAAAAGATCCGATCAATCCCGCAGAATTTCAAACACGATGGATCCCTATTATGACACATTCTGAAATGATAGGAAAGACTATGATATTTATATCCTTTTTTAATATTTCTCTAATGTGTTCACCTAATTTATTATTATTATTAATTATTATTACTACGAGTTTATATAGCGCCAAAGGGTTTGCTCAGCGCTGTACAATAGGGGGGGACAATACATGGCACAGTACAACAAAGACAGACAGCGTACGAGGGTAAGAGGGCCCTACTCTTACGAGCTTACAATCTAGGACTCTAGGACAACCTAATCTCACCGACAATTTCCTGGAAGTTCTACCTACGTATTGAAGGTGACAAGAGCATTCCAACAAATACGTAACAAAGGAACTATCACAAGATATAAAATTATTTATTTTATAAGAGGAACCCGTAGAGCAAGAATGAAACGAATCATATCTCCTCTTAGTATCTCCTCTCATATTTCTACATGCCATACACCTATTACATTTATAAAACCCCACACAGTATCCAAAAAAGTTGCCTTTTTCTTCGGAATATCTGGGATATTTTTTGCTAACTTCATTCTCAATGGGGGTGGTTTTCTGTAAATGAATGAAGGTTTCTCAGGTATTAAATCATGGAGAACCTCATCCCTCTTCAGAATCGACCAGTGTTTCCTTATGATATTTTCAATAACCTTATGTTGATTAGAGTAACCCGTAATAAAAGCCAGTTCACCTACTTTCTTCTTGTTCTTTCTATTAGTTAATAATTCATCTCTATTAATCATCCTCACTTGATCCATTGCACCTGTTAGAATATTTTCTTCATAGCCTTTTTCTCTAAACCTTTCCAACAACACACATTTGCTTGCTCTTGAAATGTCTTATTGTCATCACAATTCCTTTTGAGTCTAATCAATTGGCTTTTAGGAATGGACCTCAACCAATTTCTATGGTGACAACTGTGGATTGGGATGTAAGCATTCCTATCAACTTGTTTAAAATATGTTTTTTGTGTGAAGATAGTCTCCCTGTCTATAGATGACTAAATCAAGAAAGTCTATAGATTCCATGCCGATATGATTAGTGAAAGTGATGTTATAAGGATTGCACTCCATTCCACGGATGTACTCCTCTAAACCATTCCTAGTTCCCTTCCAGATTATCACAATGTCATCTATAAACCTTCTAAAGAGTAATAATTTCTCATTCACCTTTTCAAATATAGCTTTATCTTCCCACATACTCATAAAAAGGTTGGCTACTGATGGAGCATATTTCGCTCCCATCGCAACTCCAGTACACTGCCTATAATAATTGTTGGAATGCCAAAAATAATTATTTGACATTGCTAGGTCAAGACAATCTAGTAAAAAATTAATTTGATCACCTTTTAAACCCGATTTTTTCTCCAATGCCCACCTCACTGCTGTTAAAGCATCCTCATGTCTAATGTTGGTATATAATGCATTAACATCAACACTGTCCAAAACACAGTTCTCTTTAATCCTTATTTTTTTCAAAACTGAGATCAAATCTCCACTATCCTTTAGGTAAGATGGAAAACCTGATACCAGGGGTTGTAGGAATTCAAATATTAAATTCACTTTTTTTTACCTGCAAAAAAGATGTGCATTTATTTATTTATTTATTTTTACAAAGGTGAACTTATCCTTTAAAGCGGAACTAAATATAAAAAATTGCAGGCGGGCTTTTTATTGCAGAAGAGACATGCAATGTCTCTTCTGAAAAAAGTACTCTTGTCTGCCTCTTTGCAATCTTCTGTGAAATGTAGACTGAGCTGCGCATGCAGCTGAAGTATTGGCATTCCTTTAGATGAACCGTAAGACCCCCGTTTTACACAATGCATTACTGTGTGTTAAGGGTGCATATATACCTCAATGTACTATATCAGGCATGTACTTTTTTGCAGGGCAACAGACTGAAATGCACGGCATGGGCATTGCAGTGTAGGTGCATTTCCCGCTACTGTAAATGTGAACATGTAGCATGAGCATTGCCATGACATGGAGCTTAAAAAATATCTTGCCAAAAATGAAACTGTTAGCCCAGGCGATGCCTGAAATTTGACTTGTAACTCAGTTCAGAGCAAATAATACAAAAATAAGATTTCTGGGGACATTTTGTACACCATCTGTGTAAAGAATACTGTCCAGGTTACCATGTTGAAAGGAACCTCATTTGAATATATTGACGATTGTAGAAAAGCTCTTAGCTATGAATTCTCTTTCTGATCAATGTTATAACACTAACGGAAGCCGCTAGAGTTTCACTTTACGTACTAGAGAAGTGATCCTCTATGATCCTTCTGTCCCAGTACAATATGAAATGTGACAGCCTCAATATAGCCTTAATAAAACATTCAAAAAATATGATTCCACCTTGTTTTGTTTAGATTTTTTCCCTCTTTATAGACCTGTCAATCTTCGTTCCAAAAACGCCTGAGACAGAGAACTGCTAAGGTCTCCAGAGAGGTGCAGTGTCTCAAGGTCACTGTGATGTACGCTGTCGGAGGAATCGTAAGATGAATACATACTGTGAATAAATAAAGGGCTACTCTACAGTAGTCTTGGGGTCATAGGCATGCCTGGTAGTAGCAGATCCCAAGGGTGCTGCCATAAGTATAAGCAGGTCCAGGAGCTTTAAACGTTATCATTTTTGACTTTTGTAATTAAAAAGAGAACTCTACATTAAAAGCAGGATACTGTATTTAAAGTGAAAGATTGTTATATGCAACAGTTTGACCTGTGTTTGCACAGAGGTGATGACTACATAAAATGAATTTCAGTATTTGACAACCTCTCTAATTGAGGATCTATACTGCACCCATTAGTTAAAGCCCAACTCCAGTAAAACTAAAACTCCTCCTTTGCAGTGGGGCTGCACCTGCACTGTGAGCATTAAATGCTTGTTTCTGCCTAGGGGACAGTAAAAGCACTTTACTTATCTGATCCTCCTCTCTTCTGGCAAATGGAACTCCCTTATACTCTAGCTGTGGACTGTCCTTCAGCATTCTCATGTCCATTGCATACCTAGGGACCCTGCCTTGGGCTCAATGACATCAGAGGACCTTAGACCACGGAGTGCAGGGAAGAAGAGACTACAGGGACCAGTCTAGCACAGCCTTTCTCAACCAGGGTGCCCAGGCACCCTGGGGGGCCTTTAGGCTTCTTCAGGGATGCCTTAGCAAAATGCACAAAAATTGTATACAAGCCAGCACGTGGATCAATTCTGCTTTTTAGTACACAAAGTTACAAGTTTTCATTGTGCATTTTTATGACCTTCTAGCTTTCAGCATCCTAAGAACCAATGACATCATCAGTTGAGGACATTGGGTGCATGCACATCATCCTTGTTTGGCCCTCCCCTGCCCTCTACTTTGCTAATGGGGTCACATTAGCAGAGTGAGGGACAGAAAATGAGAGAGACACAATGGAATACTAGTTGGTACCAGTGTGCAAATGTGTATTTGCTTTGGAAGAATAAATCACCTCTAACATTGGGTGTACTGGATGTGTGTAGAATAGTTTTTTACATTTTAGAATGGGGTGCTTTCCGATTGTGCAGAATCTTAAAGGGTGCCTTGAGATTATCCATAATTTCAAAGGGTGCCTTGACGATAAAAAGGTTGAGAAACACTGGTCTAGCAGCACAAAGTAGCCTGCAGGAGCAGAAGAATGGGTAAGGAAAAAGTACTTATCCAAGTCTCCTAGATTTAAACAAACAGTTAACCCATAAAGGTAATCATTTACTATAAAATACATAGCTTGCCACAGCTTAACTCTCCTTTTGAAAGTGCTAGTTGCCTGGCTGTTGTGTAGATCCAGAAGCATTTGAGTCACTGACCCAAAACAAGTGTGCATAGTTCTACGTCCAGCAGCTGCATGTTTAAAGTGTTGAAAGTGTTGAGGCCAGAGACAGCCAGGCAACATAGCCAAAATGGTTTAGTTATGCATAAAATAGGGAAAGGTTAGAACCCTTGTCAAGATTTTTATTGCTGTTTGTGTCCCACTAGGTAGATTCACCCTACAATTTTGTCCTGGTGACCATTGTCAAGGCTGAAAGTGATGGGAAACCTAACATATTAGAGGTGTGGATGGGAATTATCACGTTGTAGAGATTTTCTTTTATTTCCTTTTTTTGTCTCTAGAACATGAAGTGAAGGGAAATTTCCCCAATAGAACACAGACACCAAAAAAAAAAATCTAAGATGGTTTTTAACCTTGGTCTATTCAAAAAAATGTTTGAGGTATACATACACTTTAAATCGTGGTTCAAATCACAGCTTACTATAGGCAAAGCACTGAAAACTTGCATTGGATCAAAAGAGTCCAGTTTTTCCTGTGACATGTTGTGAAAGTAGCCACTTACACTCACCGGCCAGTTTATTAGGTATAATAAATCAAAAACTGTGCAAATACCCAAACCTAATCATGTACAAAGCAGCAAACACACCAAGAGGACATCCTCTCTAAATCACAAATCGAAATAAATCTCTAGTGTTGCGCTAAGTGAAATATAAATTAAAATCAACAATTTTCATAAATAATATACAATTAATACAGTATATATCCAATGAAGGACAGAAAAAAAGAAGTACTCAATAGTGAACAATTGCCAGAAATTGAAGTACAAATAGGTTAACATATATGGAACAGTCCTTATAGGATGTATCGAACAGTCCCCTTATTCCGTGATGAGTAGTTGAAAAATCTTCATTCCAATATAACCACCAACGTGAATACTGCACCACTGTGATGACAAATTGGAGGCTTACCAGATCCTTTGACCCCTTGACTATGGGAGTGGTCAACAAACACCTGATATAAATGATTCCATCCAGATCCATATATTCCAGGTTGGAACCAGATTTCTGTGCAGGATGGACTGGGGAGCAACCATGCAATACTGTGTTTCAGGATCACCACAGCTTTCTCTTTCATGGTTGTACTGTGGGAAACCCTGTCATGGAAAGATTCATAGCCCTGTTATGTTATTTATTTATTTATTTCAGGTACTTATATAGCGCCATCAATTTACGCAGCGCTTTACATATATATTGTACATTCACATCAGTCCCTAACCCTCAAGGGGTGTACAATCTAAGGTTAATGGTGTTTCCCAGTGGATCCAGCTTATGGTGCTCAGCAAACCTACTCCACAACAAAGGACAGCTGTTATTAAGCAGTGTATACAAGTATCAGAGAAACTTCTAGAGCTGCAAAACTTTAACACCCTCATGTCTGTTGTTGGTGACCTCACTCATAGGTCTATCTCTCGCTTAAATGAAACACAGTCCCATGTTGGTGCAGAGACCACTAAGGAGCGTAAGTCAACCCCACGAGATCGTGACACAGGAGCCTCTGATGATACTGGGCAGCACAGTGGCTAAATGATTAGCACTTCCGCCTGGCAGTACTAGGGTCATTGGTTCAAATCCCAGCCACGGCACCACCTGCCTGGAGTTTGCATGTTCTCCCTGTGCCTGCGTGGGTTTCCTCCGGGTACTCCCGGTTTCCTCCCACACTCGAAAGACATGCTTGTAGGTTATTGGATCCTTTCTAAATTGTCCCTAGTATGTGTATGAATGTAAGTTAGGGACTTTAGATTGTACACCCCCCTTGAGGGTTAGGGACTGATGTGA